CAGTTATAAGAAAATATTGCGATAAGAGGTAATGGGAGGTTTTGAATATGAGGGTTTTTTCAATTTTATCTATAATGTTGGAGTCATATCAAGCAACAGGTTGTGATTTTTAGATACAAAACTAAAAAAGAGGACAAGCTGTCTATTTGTTGTGGAATAATCAGGAGATTTATACATATTTGTACATGAAAATTAGGGATGATAACATGAGTGAGCTGAGGACTGTGTATCAAGAAATGAATAAATCACTAGCCTATTCATGACTCTATGGGCAGCAGAACTGGGGTTTACTCCTTACCTTAGCAGGCCATTTACAATGATGCCAGTATAACCCATAATCTGATTGCCCATCTCTTCCTTTTACTTATCTAACTAGTCAAACCAATGACTCTTGTTTACATTCAATTCCTGGGCAGTTTACTCTATTCAAGTTGAGTTCATGATGTTCTCTTTACTCCTCAGTCATCTACACAGATTCCCCCACCCCACCTCCATATCATAATTTGCTCATCCTACTTCTTTCCTTTCCAAATAATATTATCATAGCATTTTGAAAGTCATACAATTGCCTTACAGTTCCTTTTAATTTTTTTTTCCTAGAAACACAATTGATGTGGATCCTGTGGTAATTTCTTCACTACTATAGACATTCATATATAAAAGGCTTTGTAATCGTGAAAAGCAAATATTGAATTATGTGTAGCACACGTGACTCCAATATTCAATTGTAATGCCATAAAATGGTATAGACTCAATCTATCTTTTAAAATTCACACCTGAAGTATCTGCTTAAATTTGTTCTGTGAACTTCAGAGTCCCTGTGGATGCATACTACCATGTGAACATGAAAATAGTTGAATACATGTGCCAGGCAAACTTTGACAATTCTAAGAAATGTCATTTTCTGAGTCATGATCTGAAGGAGCAATAGGACCATTGAGACCAATGGGGACTGTCATTGCCCCATAGGACAGAAGAAGTATAAAAGGAGCCAGATTGCTTGAACATTATGTGATAAAATAAGAGCTAACATTTCCAAATTTATCATTCATTGATTATGATTTCACTGATTTCCTGAGAATATTTTACATATAAACTCCCATAAATTTTGTCTCTATTTTGCATTTTAAATGGACAGTTTAAATAATTTATATGGAGTTAAGCAACTGAGAAGTATTGGATCTAGTTTCTAACTGACATGGTCTTTCCAGATCCCTAATAGTTAATTATACTGGTAAATTACACTAATTATGTGACATGTTTTGCAAGTTTGACAGAAATAATGATTATGAGTGCTGTTTGAAAGCCCCACGTTTGAATTTCATAATGAAGCTGCGTGAAATCTAAGACTACATCTTCCATTAAACCTCTTTCGATGCACTTACTCTACAATTAACTCTTACCTGAGAAAATTAATCTAATGAGAATCTCTCAGTCTTACCTGTCTACAAAGGAACATGTATATCGTTCATCTGTATTTGTGCTTCTCTCAGCATTCATGTATTTCTCATTCACTTTAACATTCCCTCTTTCTCCATGTGCCCAGTAGAAAGTAAGTGTATAGTTTGCAAGAGAAAAAAATTCGCAATGGAATGGATGAAAACACCAAATACCTTGAAATTGGCTTTATCATTACTTGCAATAAGAAAACAGAATCTTAAATAAATATAGTACAGATTATGCACCATGATCCAATGGAATACCAAAGTCAATGGTGCTACTGAGGCATGGGTTAAAAAGCAATGCTTACTAGTAATTGGTAAGATTTTTTGAAATGATACAACTTTTAGAATAATATTTTACCCAATCATTATAATAATGTTATTGGAAAAATAATTTATTTTCTATCCTAAAGAATTAGTTTCACACATATGCATGTGATTATATAGAATTACTCTCATTGTAAACTTATCTATAATTTAATGAAATTTGAATCATCTCAATGTATATCAGTGTACTAATAGTTAAGTTCAAAACTTTATGATACATTCGGAATGTTTTACCCAGCATACAATGTTTTTCTATGAAGTAATATCACAAACACATATTGAAATTAAAGAGAACATCAATTTGATTTTTGCAGTAGTATAGGAATATTCATAATGTATTTTTAATTAAGCAAACAAATATATCTTTCCAAAAACATATGTATGTGTGTATCTAATTTCATGGAGAATTAACAGAAAAGTAAAAATAATTGATGGCAAAATGTATTGTCAGGTTATAATTTACCTTTATCACTATGGTATGAGTTTTTAGCAGTGCTCATGTAGTTAAGGATTTTACCTACCTGTATTGTTTAAGATATGTGAATAAATAATGCAGTATTTCAACTGCATTCATCAGGAAAAAAATGACATAAAGCAAGATGTAATAAAATGTATATTCTTCACTGTATAAATCACTAATAAAATTATCTAACCACAGGAAATATCTTTCTCTACTTCTGTCTGTGTAGCTGATAAGTCATTTTCTCAGTCTATGAAAACTATGAACCTGAATCTGTGTTCTTATACTATTTTCCACAGATAAGAAACTTTAATAACCTTTATTTAGGGTTGAGCACTATTCACTAGAAACTGATCTTGTCATCATTTTTCTAGCTACTTCAGTGTCCCATAGTATGTTCCCTTAACTGTGTTCCATCTTTTGACATATTGTACTTTATATTTTCATGCATTTGACCCTTACTGTATTGCAGAGTCTTGTTGGAGAGAAATTATATCTGTCCATCTATTTGTTTGATGTTCCAATCAAAGGCAAAAAATAAAAGGAGAAGCTGAGGTATTATTTTTGCTTAAGTAATTTCTATATAACTTTGAATAACCAGTCTTAAACAGATAGGTATATATCTATCCGTTCAAATAATGTGATTGAGGCTGGGGATTTAACTCAGCGGCATAAGCACCTACCTGCCTTGCAAGCAGGCAGACATGAGTTCAATCCCTAGTACCGATAAAAAAAAAAAATATATATATATATAGTATGATCCACCTGAATCCTCAGTGTTTTCCTAATAATAATGTTACATACTGAGATATACTCAGGAATCAGTCAGCTACAAAATTGAACTCTGTCAGCCTCTCTTTATTGTCAGATGAAGTTACAGAGAAACTAAGATGAAGAACATATATATATACACACTTTGGGACATAAAGAAAATATATGATTTATGATATCTTTTGCATAAATTGTGTCTCCATTGTTCATTTTTTAATAGCTTTGAGACAAGATCTTCCTCAATAGTAAAGACTTTGCCCTTGAACTTACTATGCAGCCCTGGTTGGCCCTGAACTGGAAGTGATCCTCCTCCCTCTGCCTCCTGACTGCAGACTGCAGGTGTGCACCACCATGCCCAGCTTCCCTCATATACCTCTTTATAAAAACAAAATCACATAAGCCAACATGAACTGAGTTTCTCTTAGACGCATTCTTAGTCACGTTACTGGCATTATGCCAGTTTGTCTTCTTGGGAATTTGGGGGCAGGTAATTTTACTTATGATACAGGCTAGAAAACAAGCTAAGAATGTTCAGTTTGACTAAAGCTGTTGTATCCTCACCATGGAGTGCATATTTGAACAACTACAGAGTATTAATCTTTACATTATACATTATCTTGCAAGATGTGTACCTCATAGTGTTTTGTAAATGTAAAATGACATACCTCAGATTGCTGTGAGCTGTGTGCAACATAATTTATACTAGAATTATAAAAATTGTTAAGCATAGACACCAATAAATCTCACTTTTAATCTAATTTATGTCTCTTTATCTCATATACTGAGACTTGGAGGAAAGTCTCAAATTAATCCTTAGGAATAGTTACAGCCCTGTCCCAGCTCATAACTGGAGAGATGCCATTTCTTGTAAGATACATACAGTTCGTTCAAGATCCACAAACTCAAATCATATTAATTGTCTCAAGAAACAAGCCCACCTTTATGAGTCTGGATGTTCTGGGAAGAATCATGAAATCTTTTGTCTGGCTGCTGCTTGGCCAGTTCTGAAACATCAAGAATCAGTGTGAATGCCTTACCTCTCCACAGCACGTGTGTGGCTTAAAAGAGCACTCATCTGAAATACAGCTCTTCTGAAAGTGTTTTGAGAAGTCTGATGCTCTCATGGGGAGGGAGTGGGGTGGTTTTCCCATAGTGTCTGTGAAAGAGACCAGTGGGAATTAGAGAATTGAGATCAGAACTCAACACTTCTACTTTTAAAGTCAGCATTTTAGGAAAATGCAGAAAGTTGGGAGAGAATTGAATCTTCTTCAACTGTTTCTGGAGCCTGTTTGTCAGCAGAATAGTTGCATTTCTTGCTTATCATAAGTGTGTGTCAAAAAGGAAAAATGATAACTCCAACTTTTTTTGTCTTTTTCATTTTTATCAGTGCCAGGGATCGAATTCACGACCGCCTGCTTGCAAGGCAGGTGCTTATGCCACTGAGCTAAATCCCCAGCCCCGATGACTCCAATTTTTAAATAGATTTCAATTTTATGTTTAATACAGAAAATGATAGGAAAAATATTAACAGCAGTCCTATATTATTTGCACAAAAGATTAGGAATGATAACATGAGTGAAATAAGGACAGTGTATTCAGAAATGAACAAGTCATTGGACTTTTCACAACTTTCTATGGGCAGCAGAATTTGGGTTTACTCCTTACTTTAGCAGGTCCTCAACAATATTGAGAGAAGATAGTCCAAGAAACAGCAATTATTCTAATATTCTATAGATTAAAATTAAGTTGAAATATCAAACAGATGTTGCAAAGCACAGAGAAAAATTTAATAACCTACTAAAATAAAACATTAAGGAGATTGAAGGGACAGAAGAAGAATCCAGAAACAGAGGCTGAGAAGTGATGTGAAAAGCATTTGGAGTCAATGTTCTTGAGTACTCCAAGAGAGCCAATAAATTGACACACTGGAAAGTAATTTTCTTAACAATGCATTCCTCTGGTTGACTTTTCATACAATTGCGTATGGAGTGCTGTATGAATTAGGTGCTATTCCTTTTCCATGGTTTGTACTGCAGCAATATTTTCTTCACACAATCATAGATTTGTTTGGTTCTCACTCCATAGATGACAGGATTGAGCATTGGTGGCACTACAACATAAAGATTAGCCAGAAGTATGTGGATGTAGCGGGGCACATTTCTGCCAAAGCGATGGGTCATGAATGAAAAGAGAGCTGGTGTGTAGAAGGCAAGGATGACACACACATGAGACCCACATGTGCTGAGCGATTTGACACGGGCTTCCTGAGAAGGAAGCCGGAAAACAATTCGGAGAATCCGTATGTATGAAAGGGCAATGGTTATGATGTCCAACAGAAAATTACATATGGCAAATAAACCATAGATGACATTGATCTTGATATTGGCACAAGACAGGCGAGCAAGGCCCATGTGCTCACAGTAGGTGTGGGGAATAACATGATTCCCACAGAAGGGCAACCGCAAAATCAGAAATACACATGGAATGACCAAAAGGATTGCCCTCACTAATGCACCAAGACCAATCACAGCAACAACCTTGTTGGTCAGAATTATGCTATAGTGGAGTGGGTTGCAGATGGCCACGTAGCGGTCATAAGCCATTGCCAAGAGGATAGCAGATTCCATGAGTGTGAATTTGTGCATGAAGAACATCTGAGTGAGACAGTCTCCAAAGTTGATCTCTGTGAGATTAATCCAGAAGATCCCAAGCATTTTAGGGATGGTAGCAGTACAGAGGCCCAAGTCAACAGTAGACAACATGGCCAAGAAATAGAACATGGGCTGATGTAAGCTGCTCTCAGCCTTGATCACAAACAGGATAGTGAAGTTCCCTATGAGTGCAATCATGTATACAGCACAAAAGGGAAAGCCGAACCAGAGGTGAAGAGGTTGTAGACCAGGGATTCCCAGTAACAAGAAGGAAGAGGGGTGAGATGGAGTATCATTGGATGAGAACATCCTGACTCATAATGCATCAGTTCACGGTCTTCAGAAATGCTTGTTTATCTAGTCTGGAGGCCCCTGTGCAGTTTTCTGTAGCTAAAATTGAAGATAAAGGAACACAATACATTTTTGCATATACTCTTCTGCAAGTAATTCCATCAATTTGGGATTTATTATATATAGAGTGGTAAGAGAAAATTTCTTTACCTTTAAAGAGGATAAAACATAATATAACCAATCATAACAAACCGGTTTAAATGATACAGAACTTCAAAACATTACGAAATTAAGAATAATTATCATAATGCCTTTTGATGTCTCCAAATAGCTGCAGATAACTTTGAATATAGTAAAAATCGATTGAATAGGAGAGAATAGAATAGAATAGACTAGAATAGAATAGAATAGGAACAGTAAAAACAGAATAAAAAAAGCGATAATTTCAAAAAAAAAGCCTGTCGTAAACTCAAAATTGTTACCATAATTTACCTTGCTAAGTTTGAAATAGCTGCTCCTACCTTTAGATTTGACATAAACAAAACAAAGGAGAATAAAACTCAACCCAACAAAACAATGGAAATGATACAGAACCTTAAAAAAAAAAAGACGTCAATAATGGCTACAACCTCCAGAAGGAGATCTCCTCTAGATGTCACACTGCCTACAGCTGTCCTCTGAATCTGGGATCCAACCACTGGGCCCAGATTTGCAGTGTTAGTGGAACACCAAAGCCCTACAGACATCCAATAGTATTTCACCTCCATAGCAATCATCACAGCCTGTGTTTCTCTGGATAAGCCTGTCACTTATGGGCATCAGAGTAGGGAGTACTTCTTGTTTTCCAGGCCACAACCAGCTGAGGTCTGTTTGTTTCTATATGGGGGCCAAAGATGCATGCATCTATAACTGAAGAATTGCATTATTATATAGGCTTTAGAAAGATGAATTTTACAGTATTATATTTTGTAATATCCTCCTACATCTTGAATTTTTCAGCTTTCTTTGAATGCACTTTTCTCTGATAACTCATTTATAGTGATGATTTTTACCCAAGGACCTAAATGCAGATTTTTCAGCCTTCCAGCTTCAACCCTTCCCTCTTTGCCTCCTTTCTTCCTTCCCTGGCTTTCTTTCTTCCTGTCCCTGTATCTGTGTCTGTCACTGTCTCTAATATAAAACTTCACTCCTGTCAAATAAAATTGTCATGCCCCAAGTCAGAGAAAATAACAAAACTGAGAAAAATATAAGAATTTCGGAGTTATTGTCTAACTTAAAAATAGTTAATACTTTATTTCATGCAAGTTTATAATACAAGTTTATATTGCAATTTTAAAAACAACATATTTAGCAGGTAAAATAATGGCTAAGAAAACTTTAGTTGCATATAGTTTTTTTTTGTGTGTGTGTGTGTGTGAAAAGTATAGAAATAAATAAAGCAATCTCAGGCTTAATTTTCCTGAACATAAAATATTGTTAGTGATTGCCAGAAGTTATAAAACATACCATACTACACCATTTTGCTGAGAAATATGTGCTACTTATCGTTTTACATGTTACACAAAATACTCTTCATTTAGCAAAATCCATTGTGAATTAAATTACAGTTATAAATTCACTAAGCTAGCTGGGAGTGGTAGCACACATGTGTCATCCCCACGACTGAGACATGAGATATTGGATGACAAGTCGAAGGCCATCCTGAGACAAATAGTAAGCCCTCATTTTATGGTATCTCCCTGTATCTGTAAATCTGAGTCATTCTGTACTTTCCTATCCAGTTCAATCAATATTGACAATCTTTTTCATGGATTTCTTTATAACACAGACTCCTACAGAGGCTCCTACATAAATGTCTTCAACCTTCAATTTTGGTAACTAAATTTCAGAACCATATAACCAAATTCTTCTGTGGTAATTATTTTCACTTTTCAGTATATACTAAAAATGAAATATTTAAATGAATTTTTCAAACCTACTTCACCACAGCACAATTTTAATCTTAGTTTTACATTGTATATATTTGAAAATAATTATCAGTGATTTGAACAACGGAAAATAGAAGGACATATTTCTGTTTCCCAAACTATTTGAACAAAAACAGAATTGATGCTCATAAAAATTAACATCAAGTACACTGATCTATCTACTCAATGTTATTATTAAAGCCAGTATTATGTCTTTTCTTTTTAAGCATATACATTATTGATGACAGTTTCTATTTTATATTTCTGGGTCATATTTATAATGATTAGCTGAGATTGCACACAGTGAAACTCATATTTTGGGTACTAGTTATCTACTCTATGATAAATTGCTAGGAATTTTTCTAGTATATATCTGCAGTATACAATAATGGAGCCATCATTATATTTTGAGACAATCACAGTAAGACACTTTCTAACACCTAAGAGCATGAGCTCTATTTCAGATAGAATCTCCAGCACTTGGGAGGCTGAAGCAGACTGTTGCAATTTAGAGAGCAGCATGGTCTACAAAGTGAGCTCAAGGAAATTCTGAACTACACTGAGATCTTGTCTCAAAAAACAAACAAACAAAAAAAAGATGAATTCTGTTGAAACTTACTTTAAACGCTCATTCAGTTTGGATGGAGGGAAACAAAAAACATTCTTTATTTGCTCTGTAACCTAATACAAATATTTTAGTGTTTTCACAACTCAATATATTAATCTGGAAAACAGAAATAAAGACAATATTTAAATCTGTTTTTACTTCTATAACAGATACTTTCAAAGTTCTCTGAATCGTATTTCAAATATCATGTTATCCATCCTTCATTAGCCATTGAGTAAAAAATTTGAAGTGGTTCACCAACTAGATTCATGCTAGCATCCAAATGCTGATATTAAAATTTTGTAGTCTGTGCTAACCATGATGCTGTTCACCAAACTTTCAATCTTGCTTTTTTTCCCCCCAAAATATATCACTTGTCTCCTACCGTCTCTTCTCGCCCTCTTTCCCTCTGTGTATCTGTGAACTGAGAGAAGGGAACACACCAGGCTGAGCACCAAGATGAGAGTCTAACCTCTGTTTTGTTTCAATTTACTCTGTTTTTAAGATGTCATCACTTTTTGCCTGGGAGAGACATTCATTATAAAGTCCAACTGGGACTTTTGTTTTGAGAACATGAAGTCTTTGTGGAATTCTAGTTGTTAATCTGGGCATGAATCAAAAGAGACCACTTCTTGAAAGAAAAGGAAGCAGAGGAAAGTGAGTTTTCATGGTGACCATTCAGGTCTCTGTGAACTTTCTGTCACCTTGCTCTGCAGGAGCATAAAATGATTGATGGAGCTGAGTCATCATTATCCTGGACCATTACATTGGGCAATTTCTTCTTTTGAATTCATTGTCTTCCTTGCTTTTCTTTCAGTTACTCCTTCTGTGTTCACCCCAGTTCATTTCTTATTCTTAGTTAAACTCAATGGATTATATTCACTCTTTTCATTCTATTTATTGATGCTTAATATTGCGGTTAAATTTTCAGTTATAGCCACGAGGCAAAATTTACATGTTAATCAGTTAGACAAACTATTATATCCTGATCTAGATCCTCCATCTCCCATGCAGGTGTACAATGAAGGCTTAAATAAAATGAGACAAGTGATATGATTTTAGCGCCCCAAGAGTGTCAAAATCCTTTAGCTGAGTTCAAGGCTCTGAGGGCTAAGACAGAGACTTCTCTGGACTGCACATGTTTATTAGGTCCAAACAAAGAGCAGGGAAACTAAGGCAGCAGGCGATGAACAGGACCCTGGGAGTCACTTCAAAGACTTCTACTAGTAGTAAATTATGCCAGTATAGGAAAATCATCTTATCTCCCAGATAACATTCATGGCAGGAGTGAGATTCCTACAGCTCCAGTCTCTTTTTACTTAATTAGTGCTGGAGCTAAAGTGTCCTTAGCTGTGGTCTTATCTTGTCCTTTGAGGTATCTCTGGCCTCACAAGCCACTACAGGCCTCAGACAAGTCCAGTAATTCATAGATGCTCACTTATTAAGGAATCAGCTAGGCCAAGCACTTACACGTACTACGGACTCACAGATAAACAAAGAAAGCCTATTTGTTAATTTAAAATCCTACTCAGAGCTGCTTCCTTGTGGTTTCCATCAAGAAACTGGTAGCATTGTGCCTTCATTGTTCCAAGTAAATCAATTTATCTTATGGACAATGAAATCTTTAAGTGTGCAGGTCTGTCCATACACAGTCCTGTCCCATCCATTCTTTTCCAGAAGTAACTAAGCATTGTATCCCAAATGTGAACTGGCCGAGGTTCAGTTTATACCAAGGAGTGTTCTGTAAGTGTAACCAGTATAATATTGTAGTCTCTGTCCTCAAATTTTAGTCAGATGATTGGAGGTCCATGCTTTCTTATTGGCCTCTTGAATTTTAAAAGATGTTTATTTTAAGTTTATAATACATGAGTAATGTGCAATATTCAAGGGAGCACATGCTTCGGAGTTGGAGCACAGCTCAGACACAGTCATAACTCACACTTCCCTCTTGTATTCTTCTCATCTCCCAAGATAATTTCTTGAACATTGGTTTCCTTATGCCAGCCTTGCAAGCGCTGTTGCCTTAAAACTCTGGCATGTTTTGATCTCAGTCCTGTCTAGCACACATGTATTTCAGTGAGCATTAGTACACTGTGGTGTTTCCTGTTTTTGTTTTCTATTCTTTTTCTCCTTATTCACAGTTCAGTAGCCAGTAATGCTATGGAAACCATCCAAGAGCACTTCAACTTATGAACTGAGAAAGAAATTGTAGCATATATACACAGTGGAACATAATTTTGCCAGAAATAGAAAGGAGATCATGTCAGTTAGGGGAAAAATGGATGAAACTGGAGACAGTCAGCCTAAGTGAATAAACCCAGAATCAAAAATACAAATGTGACATGAGTTCTGTCATTTAGTGTCTTGAAGAAAAAAATGAAGGGATGAAAATAGAGTGTGAATTATTAGGGCAAAGGAAGGGAGTAAGTGGGAAGTGAAGTTTA